CACAATTCGAACCCAAATCTCCAAAAACTTTGGCATTGCGCACGCACTGTCAGACATCAGGATACAGTCTTACCGCTCAAGATCCTTACAATAATATATCTAGGACTTGTATAGAAGCATTAGCAGCAGTCATGGGCGGCACACAATCACTTCACACCAACTCTTTAGATGAGGCGATAGCATTGCCAACCGATTATTCAGCCAAAATAGCGAGAGACACTCAGAAATATTTACAATCAGGCATAAATGTTATTTCAGCGATCGATCCTATGGGAGGCTCTTATTATGTGGAATCACTTACTAGCCAACTCGTAGAAAAAGCGTGGCAACATATCCAAGAAATAGAATCACTAGGTGGAATGACGGCTGCGATCGAAGCGGGTATCCCCAAAATGAGAATAGAAGAAGCCGCTGCTGCAAAACAAGCAAGAATAGACAGTGGTAATGAATACGTAATAGGTGTCAATCTTTTCAAAAAAGAAACTGAATCAGAACTCGATATACTCAAAGTAGATAATACAAAGGTTCGACTTGAACAAATAGACAGGCTTACAGAAATAAAAAGCAAAAGAGATGATCAAAAAGTAAGATCAACACTGCAAGCTATCACAGAATGTGCACGAACAGGTAGTGGAAATCTCTTGGAGCTTGCCATAATTGCAGCTAGAGAAAGGGCTACATTAGGAGAAATTACGATGGCTATGGAAGAAGTTTTTGGCAGATACAAAGCTACTAATAGAACCATTTCAGGTGTGTATGCAAAGGAAATTCATATGGATGCTAAATTTAAAAACACATTGGAACTCTCTGATCGTTTTGCAGCACTAGAAGGCAGAAGACCAAGGATTATGGTGGCAAAGTTAGGTCAAGATGGACACGATAGAGGTGCAAAAATCATAGCAACTAGCTTTGCAGATTTGGGATTTGATGTAGATATGGGACCACTCTTCCAGACACCTTCAGAAGCAGCAACACAAGCCGCAGAGAACGATGTACATATACTAGGCATATCGTCACTTGCGGCAGGTCACAAAACATTGGTGCCTGAAACAATTGCAGCATTAAAAAAGATAGGCAGAGAAGACATCATGGTCATCGTAGGTGGCGTAGTGCCTGTTCAAGACTATCCATTCCTTTTTGAACAAGGTGTAGCAGCTATTTTTGGACCGGGAACCATTATTGCTGAAGCAGCAGCTGAAATATTAGAAATTTTAATAGCAAATATTACGGAGTAAGTTTACACCATTGGCCATTTTCATTGATAAAGATCATTTAGCCTATTTTGGTAGGATAATTTCAAACATTTATCTAAGACTTACTACTTATAATTAAGAAACGATTACCTTTGTTAACGATGAAGTAAATTTGATTGTATTTATTTAGAAGACCGAAACCGATGAGAAATATTTGGTTCGTTTTTGTTAAATTTGTCAATCAAAATTCATTTTATAAAACGTCAACCAACAAAATATGAATGTATTATCACTACGGAATGTAGTCAAAGCTTATCATAGTCATATCGCAGTAAATGATGTGAGTTTTGATGTCAAAGCAGGCACTATTTTCGGTCTACTTGGTCCTAATGGCGCCGGCAAAACATCATTGATTAGAATTATCACCACCATAACTGGTGCAGACAGCGGACAAGTTTTGCTAAACGGAGAGCCATTAAATCACCTTCATCCCAATGAAATAGGATACATGCCCGAAGAAAGAGGTTTGTATAAAAAAATGAAAGTAGGGGAACAGCTTCTTTACCTTGCACAACTCAAAGGTCTTACTGAAAAAGAAGCCAAAATCAAGTTAAAAACTTGGATGGTAAAGTTTGACATCATGAATTGGTGGGACAAAAAAGTTGGTGACTTATCAAAAGGTATGAGCCAAAAAATTCAATTCATAGCCACAGTAATTCACGATCCGAAATTATTAATCCTTGACGAACCTTTTTCTGGTCTTGACCCTATCAATGCCAACTTGATCAAAGATGAAATTTATCAACTTAAAGAAAAAGGAACTAGCATACTTTTTTCTACCCATAGAATGGAACAGGTGGAAGAAATCTGTGA